GGCTTTTCAAAAGATATAGAAGAGGTCATTATAGAAATTACTCATATTGGAAAAGAACTTGGCTTCGCTGAGATTGACGATGAAAATGTGCAAGAATTGCTAGAAGCTCATTCAGAAGAACTAACCAATAAGGACCTTATAAATTTGGACACTCAGAGAGCATATGAAGACATTGATGAATGTGAACAAATCTTACCTACCCGCCAGCATAAGAAGATGACGAAGAAGGAATTAGAAGAACTTTTCACGGTTATTGAAGAATTTAAGGGAAAATGTTTAGAAACAGACCCTGATGAAGATAGAAGCCGTCAAATTTGCAGAAAAATTGATGAGGCAATTTCTCAGTACCGCCAAATATACGAAGAACAGAAGAATACGATGCGACAAGCCACTCTAAATAAGTTTTTCATAAAAAAATCAGACAAATAAATTTTAATTCATTGCATTTTTTTCGTATTTTCTTATATACCTATAATTTGATTAAAAAATACGCAAAATAGAAATTAATTGTGAATGAGGATGAAAATTGAGGTACGAATTACATGATTTCCCATAAGTTATTATATTCGATTAGTGCGGCTTTTTTAAAGAACACATTAACCGCACTAATCGAGGGATTCCTGTATTTAAGAATCCATAAGATTTTCAAACATACTACCTTTAGGTTTTTAGTATCACTTTGAAACTTTTTAGACATAGTTTTGTGAAGAATGATTGGAACATAGAAGTTCTGTATGTTTGTTTTTTAATTATTATTAAATAGTCATAAAATTCATTTCATGACTGTGTAAAGTGCGTTTTGACGATGAGCTCTGCTTTAACACATTCGAGAGAGTTTGGCGACAATGAACAAGTTAAGTAGGCCTATTACCTTCGTGATTCGATGTGACTGACAGTTTGATGTCTTTATCATAGAACCGAGACGTTTAATTATTTCCGAGAACTGTTCTCTGGATATCGGGACGACAAACTACTAAAAGCAGAGACATTTGATTACCCTATTAGTAATTACAAGTGCATTTCTATTTCTTATGAAGAGGTAACCGTTTCTAGACACATAAGTAAACAATTGTTATATACGCCATACACTATAAAAAATGCTGTATTGTAAATTAACGTGACAAAGACTTGTCTAAACTTAAATAATACTACTGAATGTTGTAGTGAAGTAGAAAATGTTCTGTCGAAACATGTAGTACGTTCCCCCAAACATAAATCATGTTATTCTGCTTATAAATTATTGTCTGCCAACTTACTATTATATCAGCATAACTTGCTTCCATACTCAAGATATACAAGTTTGTTTTTTGTTTTCAACCGGTCTAAAGGAAGTGCGGTTTTCAGCTCAAAATTGTATTTACTTAAATGCATTGTTGTGAAGAGATATTTTCATCAAGAGTTTCGGTTAGAACCTTCATGAATAACACGTGGTAGAAACGCTCTTCATTTGAATTCATTTCTTAAATACTGTTCTTATGGAGTGTTTGAATCTTAATTTATGATATGAAATGACTTAATATAATGGTATTATTGTGTATGTAGATTGTATGAAATTATTCTCAAAGACTGTGCACCAGCCAACACATTTGTTTATTCTCTTTTGTTAGACCACAGTTATTGTGTTATTTTAACTTGAACTATTATTGTACTTATTCAAATACAGTGTAGCCCTGTTATAACGCGATCGTTGAGGTCCATCATCGCGAAACAAGCGGGGTCGCGCTAAATCGTGGTTTTGTAAAGATACATTTAAAATATTAAAAGTTATTAGTATGTAAACTATAACGCGGTGACGGTTACGAGGTCGGTCCCAGGGACCGAGCCCATGTCGAAACAGTTAATGACCCATCGCGTTATATACGAATTCGCATAAAATTGGGGTTTCACTGTATCAGACTCGTGTTCCACAGAACAAAATAAATAAATAAAATAAAATCATCTATAGTTTACGTGATTTTTGTCACAAATGTTAGGCCTATTTGTTTCCAATGGTTGGCTAGCTTTCGGCGTTTAAACAGTAACTTTTATAATGTGTTTATAAATAGCATTTCACAAAAACTTTTTGTCACTTTTCGCCCAACCCTCCTAACGAGTTCCGGTATTGAACGAAAGCCTTCTAGGGGAAGTGATGTATGGGAGACAAAAGATAGATCTGAAATGCTGGTTTTACACATCTGAAATGAACAAACTATGATGAACAGGAACAAAAAACCCATGTGAATTTTGCGTCACTTATAGCACAAATGTTAGGCCTATTGCTTTCCAATGTTTCACTAAATTTCAACTTTTAAACAATAATTATTTGTGTTTTGTTGGTATATTGTTAATTTCCCTAAGTTTGAATACAATTTTTAGATCAAGTGTTTTATGCTTTAATTGAAACATGTTTATCTTTAAAATAAAAATTCGCATTTATTCAAACTTATGGGAACTATGCACACTTTTAAGGATATAGCACAACACAAACATCAATAAAGTCCTGTGAAAATCTCTAGACCAAATAGCATATAAGAAACAACAAACATAGACAGTTACACTGTTGTTAGCTTTTGATTATAATCTAAATGTACTGATCTGATTCGTTTAATATATTGCTGGATCCAGAGTTTTAGGAAAAAATACTCTGAGAACCACAACATAGTATACTCTGAGAACCACAATATATTATAATTTGAGAACCACAATATACTATATTTGAGAACCACAATATATTATAATCTGAGAACCACAATATACTATATTTGAGAACCACAATATATTATAATCTGAGAACAACAATACTTTATATGATTGAGTGCAAAAGAGCAACAATATAACAGCAGTAAAGAAAAAAATCACATTAAAATATTCACATAAGTATAAATACCACGGTGTAAAATAAATATTTCATAACAAACTGTATCTTAGCTTTTCAAAATGCATAATTTTACGGTTAATATCGTTCTGCAATCGAATAACAGCGTAGCTAAGTCAAGGATTGTCCTCTGGTGACGAGGAATCCATACGGGGTACAGCTTTGATGTGCCTGGTCGTAGGTTCGTCAATTTGTTGAGTATATTTAGGACCTCCTGTTTCTGTGGCTAGTCTCATCTTCTCTGGATCGCCAGCCACCTGATCACTTTTCAGCAAGAAAAACAAACTAAAGTTCAGCTGGGGGATGTCATACAGGACCGACAAGAAGAGCATCATGAATGCCAATCCAATCAAAAGATAGACTAGAAGAAAAAAAAAGAACTTTATTAAAAATCCCTCTAGACTTAATACATAAAATTATCTAACAGAAGACGATCTCTCTAAACGTGAAATATTAACTTTCCTAAGAGCAGACACTAGATTTTTATCTATATGAATAAACGCCAATACGTGTGTGTATCTGTTCCTTATTCGTTTCGATATTTCTTGATCAATCAGCACCAAACTTGACACAGTGATACAGAATGCTATGAGGAAGGTCATGAATTGGGGGTTGGACCCCATCTAATTTCATATTAATATAAATCTTTCTTTTCAATATTGGTATCTTTATGTATTTTTATTGCACTTTTAATGTTTATTATGTTAAGAAAAAATAGAAACATCATTTCCTGTACTTTGTTACAAACGAGTTTTTATTTCACCCGTCCAACGGACGGGTACTCCAGCTAGTTCATTATATAAAATAATATAACAGCAGAAAATACCTATAAACATGAAATATTAAATTTCCTAACGTATATAACTATATAAGGTAACAGGCAAAAGTATCCGTCCTCAGTGACGGGAAAAGTTTAAGTTAATCTGTCAATTTAAATTATTTCATGGACTTTAAAAAGGCTAATTGTGTTGCACTCTTGGTTTCACTCAGAGCCAAAGCTCTGAACTACTTATATCGCCCACCGCGAAAAGTAATTGTTGAACATTTCAGTCATGCTAATTAAGAGCTGCTCAACAATAACATACGGTAAATCTACATTTTTGTTCTTTAAGTTACGTCAAGTTTGAAATGTGAATGATAGTGTGATTAATTCCTAACAAATTAGCGTAGAATATCCTGCTTGTAAAATGTAATTTGGCATCAATATTATGTATACCTGTTCTCTACGTGAGCTTTGAGGTAAAATCAGTTTACCGATACATCACATGGTTTGTGGTTTTTACACCAATATTATTGAAACATTACTACACGTTATGATGTAAAATTGTTGAAACATAAGAATGTAGACTGTGCGTTTAAATATCATTATACAATAGTATTTAGCAAATTTTGAACTCGTATATCCAATGATCAATTATGTTTCTATACGTTTCATTTTTAAAGCATTCTATCCCTCCTATATTTTACTCTAACAAATTTCAGTTCTGAAATTGTGTAAATAATACTTGTTAATTTGTATAACATTTTTTGCTGGATAAAATAGATAGTGTTAACATTTTAAATATCATACATTATCTTATTCTTTAAAACCCATACTAAAACATCACATACATGTGGCACAGACTTTGTACAGCGGCCTCATTTTCTGGTTTATATTATCTGCAGGTATGTAATCCCCAAGCCCAATGGTCGTCAAAGAAATAAAGCAGTAGTAGATGGAATCCAGATAGTCCCAGTCAGGTTCCAAGTAAGAGAAAATAGCGGCAGGAATCAGGAAGAAAAAAGCCAGTATTGCTGCCTAGAGGCCATTTCAAGAAAATTAAAAGGAAATATTTACTTTTGGCAAAATAGAATATTAAGAAAAGAAAAAAAAACACAATGTTACTTTTCAAGTGTCCATATTTCAAAGGCGTATCACAATACAACGATTAAAATTATTTTAAATCATCATTTGCTACTTTCTTCATCATTCGAAATAACAAGTGGACTATCAAAATCCTACTGATATTTCAGAATTGCTTAACATTTAATGTCGTATGAGTTGTTCACTATAGCTGTCAGTATCCACTGTTTACTGTATTTGCAAAAGATGCAAACTTTACAAACAAAAAAAGGATATTTCATATTTCCGATAAATGTCATTATTGATTCTTAGCCTGACACAACTGAAAATGTTTATTGGTCTTGTAAAAGTAGAAATGCCAATAACAATAATACTTATAAGTGTACATCATACAGAAGATAGGCATACATAATTTCCCCGAAAGTGGGCTGAAGACCGCCTGGAGGGATCACCTGTTTTAACCACTCGCACCATTATACAGTAGTAAGTTGTTTGTCAGCCAGTCAGTAGACGCTAAAATGATGTTACATAAGGGACACTTAAAGTTGCATTTTGTACTGTCGTGACGTCAGCAAAACGTGAGCATGCCATGAATCACGAGAAGAATTATACATTCTTTAGGCTACAACACAGCATGATATATGAACTTCAAAAGTAAGAAATAAAAACATTTGGTTTTATTTACTCTTGAAACAGAACAATTTTGGGGACCTTGCGCACGTACATCTAGTTTGTTATAGCACTACGCTTGCAATTTGCAGGTCGTGGGAACGAAACCAGCCTTCGAACATACTCGCTCTTTTCAGTCGTGTGTGCATTATAATGCGATGGCCAATTCCACTATTCGTCAGTAAAAAGCACCCCAATGATTAAAGGCGGATGATTTTGACCAGCCGCCTTCCCTATAATCTATCACTTCAAAATTAGGGACGGCTAGCGCAGATAACCTTCTTAGTAGCTTTGTGCAGAATTCGAAAAAACTATTTTGTTTGTTGAGTTTCACGGAAAGTTAAACGAGGGAAGCAGCTAGCCAACAGCACCTAGAGTCAACTTTTATCAGGCCAATTAATTGGATTTAACCGTTACCCTTATAACGCATCCACGACTCTCAAGTGCAGAGTGTGATTTTCGTTTTGGCGGCAACAGGACGCGAACATTATATCCGCAGACAATAGTCCGGCACTTTTAACCACAGAAGATAGACTTAAATAGTTTAATCCTAAAAATATATCATATTTCTGAAGCGAAACTTGATGTTATTTAGTGAACGGTCAACAATAATGGGTTGATTTGCTATGTAACAAAGTTTATACTGATACAACTAACTGAAGCATGTTAAATCATTCACTATCTTCGGCTTCCAAAATTTTATATCAGACGTTTTCCATCATCAATTGTAGTATCTTTTTTTATATTACAATACCCATCATTTTCAACATCATAATTATAACAAAGATGAACAAAAAATAGGTTGATAAATGTAATTTCTGGCACTTGTTTCGCTTTTGTGCGAACTCTTAATATTTATGAGAGACTGTAAGAAATGATGTCATTTAAAGGGTTCAACAAATGTAGGTTTCAAAAAAGATCTGGGTGAATTCCATGTACTCTTCAACCCTGCGCTTAAAAGCGACAGTGTATATGCATAACTATCAGTTGATAAGAAACTAATCCGTACCACATGTGTAATACGTACACTGCATCATTGAAGGCACTGGCAATTCTACCAAGCGAGCTCTGAAACATGCTAAGCAAGTGATACAGCGTCTTTGACAGATAATTCACCATTTACAACTCTAATGATAGTTGAAGCATGAATATGAACTCATGCTGCTATATTTCAAGGAAGAACTGCAGCCCATAAGCAGTTCATCAGGGCCATGAATGTAAGGTGTCAGCTCTCACGTTTTCTGTGTTATCTCAACCCTAAAAAGTAGATGAGGAAAGCATAAATGTATAGCCCCTTTCCCTTTGCTGCTCTGGTCTTGATTCACTAGTGAAAGTTAAGGAAGACACAAATGCTTTGTTGTATTTTGGTATTCTAGACAACGTTGCACTGTATTTGATGATTTAGTTGTTGTTAAGCGCAAAGCTCTACAGTGAGCTATCTGTGTTCTGCCTACCACGAATCACGATTGAGCATCATAACTACACAGACTTATCTTTGAGCCTCTGGGGGCGTCTTTGACGGACAGGATGATATCGATTTCAAGATGGTAATGCGCCAAGAAACATTCCGATACTACGTTAAGCAGAAAACCCAATCTGAAACAAGTCACAATGGGAGGTTTTGAAACGCCACCTGTTGTTCGGGGTGGGTGGAATGACAGATCTCAATATCTTACTTGAAGTTCATCTACAAAAAGAGTGGACATTTCTTCCGGAATATATTTACCAAAGGTGGTTCCACTCGTACTAACAAATTTCCCAGTAACAAAACATGCCCCCCCCCCAATTTTTAAGTTATATTGGTAACATAACCTATGAGTGAGGCGGTTTCAAAGTCATAACAGTTACATAAACAACTTTGCTTAAGAAGTCAGAATACGACATAAACCCTTTCTACTTTACTAATATATAACTAACTATGACAAACTCACCATATACAGGACACCAAACTCATACTGATAGATACTTACAGGCTTACTACCCATCTTCAGTATTGTTAAGTGCTTGAACAATAGAGCTGAAACATCTGCGACGAACATTTCATCAAAACCGAACGCCGACATATTGTACAGCACTTTAAACGGAACGGGCACTCTTTTAGTTTCTTCAACAATAAGTCGAAGAACATAAAAATGCAAACTGGTACAACAGACATGAAAAACAAGTTCAGCACTATTTACCTTTTGTATATGCAAAGACCTAAGTGGGAAGATCAAATATGTACACAAAGTTCAAAACTGATATCCACTGGAAATCTCAAACAACACTGCTCTGTTTAAAATTAATACTAAACAAAGAACAACTGACGACAAACTCCATCGAAGGAAATGGAAAACACTCTGGGACAAGAATAAAGGACATAAAGACTAAATATGAATGATGAAAACACAGAACAAACCATGTTGAATGGGCATAAAATAAACTGTGACAGCTTCAGATACACCGACTCAGATAAATTATAGAAAACTAGAAATATCAAAAATTATTTCTATGTAAAAACAACGAAATCATTGTTCAACGAAGACCAGACCTGCAAACCAGCATTTTGTGGCTACCATTGGTTAAATCATCACTCGTTCCACCAACCATGTTACAAGAATCATCAATCAGTCACGTTATACTCACTTTACTCCTCCCTGATATCACATAAACCCTGCAAAAACCGGTGCAAAATGACCTAAAGACGAAAGACAGCAGTATTTCGAAACGTCATCCTTTACAACTGATCTTTGTTTACAAGCCCTCCAAGACTTTCTCCACAAGTGTTACGCTGAAATGGGTTGTAGCTGCCCATTTCAACTTTGTTTGTTCTGTTATTCACAAAATAGAAATGTAGCATCCTTATAATTGACAGCTAAAACATTTGTTTGTTCAACTACTAACAATAAAGAAATGTAACATTCATATATTAAAAGGTTGGTGTATATGGTCAACGTCCTATTGTCACCGCTTAGAAGCGGAAAATCTTCGTACTAAATACTCAGAACGAATGGTCTACTTCTCATATGAGTAATAAGGGAATATAACATCTTGATTAAGTCTGGAAATTATGAGTTACAGCTCTTGTTTGTTCCACTACCAACAGTAGCAGTTGAGAAATGTAACATCCTCTTACCAAATGCATGGACGGTGTCAACTAGAAGTTCGGTTTATTCTGCTACACTTACCAGAACAACAGTGATATTAAAAATGTGGATTAAAACACTATTCTGTTCTGCTACTTACCGCAATAATAGAGAAATGTAACATCCTAATATTAAAAGGTTGGTAAAGGTGCCCGAGTTTGGAGTTTAAGAAGTGGAGAATCCACGTGGTTGGAATCATCAGACGTTCTACATAGGCTGTCAGTAAGATTAAAGTCAGTGGAATACCCAATAATCCGTAAAGGACACAGAACATTTTTCCTCCTTTAGATAGTGGAGTTACATGGCCGTAACCTGGATAAAATTCAATTCATTTCTTAATATTTTTATACATGTATATATATCCGTTACATGAACAAATATTATAAGTTACTTTTCGTATCTTTATAGTATAAGATCGTATGTCGAAGAATGCTGCGGAAATTTCATAAAATCATTGATTTGGTTTGTTTTGGATATTCGCGCAATGCTACATCAGTACTAACAGCGCCAAACCTAGCCCTCCATAATTTTGAGCTGATTTACTAGAGGGAATGGAACTAGCCAACAGCACTCACCACCAACTCTCGGGCTACATTAACCAAACAGTAGGATTTGACTGTCACTTTTATAGCAACGGGATGCAAATTACGAAACCTCAGATCCATTAGTCGCTAGCCATACCCGGCCCACAGTGAATGGCATGGAAGATGTAGTCTACAGAATAGTTAAACATATCTTAACAGTGAATTACGAAACCTCAGATCCACTAGTCGCTAGCTATACCCGGCCCACAGTGAATGGTATGGAAGATGTAGTCTACAAAATAGTTAAACATATCTTAACAGTGAATTACGAAACCTCCGATCCACTAGTCAATTAGCCATACCCGGCCCACAGTGATTGGTATGGAGGATGTAGTCTATAGAATAATTAAACATATATTAACAGTGTGAGCAGAAAAACAACTATGAGTGGTAGTATAATAATGTTTTAAACCAGTAATAAAAGTGAATACAAATTTTCTGGTTAAATTGGTTTCATCGAAATATGTGATAATTACTTAAGCCTTTTAGAAATAGACAGAAAAATATGATGTCCATGAAACATATTCGGATAGTCTCTCATATGTGTAGGTGGGGTAAGTATCATGCAATAGACATTTTTCTTTAAGATATTATGCTTAATTACAAATAATAACAAAATTAAAACTCATACTTTGTCTTTGAAAGATGCCATAATTGAAGTCACGCTTAGTTTTAGAGCTTTTTCCCTTTTCTAGAACTATGCGATTTGAATAAAAACAGTCAATTACTAAGCCTTCAGTGTCATTCATGAACGAAAATTATAGTTATTTATTTCTGATAAATATGGTCAAACAATAAGTTCGTACTTTTAGAAAGGTAGACATTCATCGTAGCGTACAATAGCATGAAATGCCTACCAATGGTGCAAACACCGAGATCAAACTCAGTTTATAATGCGGTGAAATTTTAAATTTATTTAATTATGAAAATAAAATTGAGCTTTTAATCATATTCTATTATAGGTTATATAAACAATTTTTTAAAGTCAGAGGTTCAAACCAACCAGAATTTATTTCATTGCGAAAACAAAACTGAAACCTCGACTACATTTGATTTTGGACTAAATTATCAAGCTGCGACTTACCTATCGTTGTTACTACAGTTCCAGAGAAAAAAAAAGATTGTCCAAAACTCCAGTTTGGTTCCATTGTAACATTATTAGCAGCCGATACTCCTCTATTGTTAGCACGGATTATCTCCACAATCAGCTCCTCCAGGTCCTCATCTGTTGATTGGGATAATCATGGAATTATTAAACAAACAAAAAGAGTATTTTATTCAATAGTATCATCTCCGAAATTTGCGGTACTTTTTTAAATAATTTTTTTCGGAAATAACTGAAGCAAGGAAATCAATTAATTCAGTAATTCTTAGATATCGAACTATAACCACGAACTTTCTTATTTTAACATTCTTCGACTTGTTTAGCATTTACATATATTTTTTACGTTACAATATTCTTAAATTAAAAATTAGTTTTCATGATGTAAATAATAGCTTCTTGTGCAGGCATTATTACAGACCTGTTTGTTGAACAGCCGCTCTTTCTCAATTCGTACATGCTGCTACATATTTAGAGATTCTTATCAAATGCACCCCATTTCAACTAAAAATATAAGCTAATTAGGTAAAAAAAAATGGTTTTTCTGAAAATAACGAATATCATTTTAACACCAGTAAAGTAAATAAAATTTAGACTATGAAACAAGTACACAAATGCATATCATGTCGTACATACTTGAATGATATTTTTCAATCTTTGACCAAAAAAAAACCTAGAATATTTATATCTTTTAACATGAGCCAAAAATAATAAGGTTCTAAATAACCATAACTAAAAATAACAGTGTCTAAAACAAATGTCACTGTATGCCTACTTATTACATATTTCTATAAATATGTAATAACCATAGCTAAAAATAATAGTGTCTAAAACGAATGTCACTGTATGCCTACTTATTACATATATCTTTAAATATGTAATAACCATAGCTAAAATAATAGTGTCTAAAACGAATGTCACTGTATGCCTACTTATTACATATTTCTTTAAATATGTAATAACCATAGCTAAAAATAATAGTGTCTAAAACGAGTGTCACTTTATGCCTACTTATTACATATTTATAGAAATTTCACCCTATCCTTTTTGGTTATTCTTCAGCAGGGGTAAATGCTATCCCCTGATGATGGAAAGTCCACTTTTCGAAGTGAGTTATGAGTTTCTTTTCTGATGCTAACTTTTATTCTCTTATCCTGCGTGAATATCTTGACTCTTTGGTTCTTTTAACCCTATAGTTTGGAGTCAAGTGTAGATAAACTTGTGACTGTGCAACATTTGTGTTCACCGGTTCACTTCTTGCATAGAAACTTCATTTGAAAACCAGATCTTCCTCCAGATTGTGTGAATGAACAGTCATTCGGAAGGAAGCCTCTCTCCTACTGACTTCTTTTTTTTTCTGATGATTTGTTCATAATGAAAACGCAAGCTTTTCTAAATGATTCACCTTCCTCGTTTGCTTGTCGTAAAGATTCTGAACTATACAATGGTCCCGTAACCCGTGGGCTTAGAAGTTGTTTTCGCGATACAGTTATTACTTCAAACCCTTCGTCACATGTATCTTTCTCATTTTTCGGTGCAATGTGTTTTAATGTTTACTTCCTTGTGTATATACCATTAATGATAACAGTGGTAGCTTGCAGTACCTATTGCCTGAAGTTATAGATATACATGATATATGGGTTTCCTACGATAACACAATCTTTTTATTTGTTTCATAAGTGTGTGTGATCACTTCTTTAAAATTTGCCAATTAAAGATTTAAAATAGGCTGCAGAAAGTCACCCAAAATTATGTATAATGAAGTTAGTTATACTTATGGAGTTTGTTTGTTTGTAATTAAGCACAAAGTTATACAATGGGCTATCTGTGCTCTGCCCACCATGGGTATCGAAATCCGGATTCTAGCGTTGTAAGTCCGCAGACATACCGCTGTGCCACTGGGGGGGGGGGCAACATACTTATTGAGCTAAGCTGTTTTAGTTAGTTTTTAGAGTTCAAAAAGTTTGTTCAAGGTTAATTAAATTCTAGGTAGGGAATTGTTTTAATTACATAATCTTCTAAACCAATTTAACATGAAGTAACCCCAGAAAAGTTCATGTACAAAGCAATTTTCTAAAATGTGTATTTATTGTAAATAAACCTTATGTCGAGAAAAACCTTATGTCTTTATGTGTAGAATGCAATACCATTGTTTTTGTAAAATAAATAACATGTATCTTTAGTAATCCGACACGGATCATCTGATCTGTCTCTTGCGATGCCCAGGATTTCCACATAAGTTGGTTATGAGTTTATTAACCCTGCTGTCTTTCGGTATGAATGGAAACACTTAAAAGCTTTTCGTGAGACGTATTGATAATGTCATTTCAATCCCTTTGGAACGTGGATCCAGCTACTTGCTTACTTGATCTCATTCAGCTCCGTTTTATATTCACTCCATCTTAAATTTGCATTACTAAAACCATTTATCTTTGTTTCAAACATTTATTATGGTGGGTACAAGAAACTGGAGTTGTCTAGATGCTCATTAGATGTTTTTTAACTGTTAATGGTTAAGGTGCTCGACTTGAAATCTGAGGGTCGTGAGTTCGAATCCTTGTCCCACCAAACATGCTCGCCCTTTCAGCAGTGGGAGTGTTATAATGTGACGGTCAATACCGACAAATAGTAAAATAGTAACTCAAGAGTTGGCGGTAGGTGGTGATGAGAAGCTAGTTGCCTTCCCTCTAGTCTTTCACTGCTAAATTAGAGACAGATAGCGCAGGTAGCCCTCGTGTAGCTTTGTGAGAAATTCAAACTAAACTTAACTATTAAACGTTTGCGAGGTTAGGCCTAATACTGTAATGAAATAATTTTACTAATGCCAACATGTAGAGAACAAAACCCTAACAAAGTTACCCAATCTGAAATATCGTTTACATTTAAGACACGAACATGCTCTTATACGATGTGAAATTCGAGGAATTACATCAATGATTTAAAGTAGTTTATTTTATACAAGTGGTTTACTATTAGTATTTAAATTGCTTCAGCTTCCACATTGTAATAACATATCAACTGCCTCTTATCCAGGTTAAATTCGCTTTAAATGATACAATTTACTCTTTTTAACTTACAAAGCTCAATCAGCGTGGACAGTGGGTGGCAGGGCGTTACTCACTGGCTACTCTAGCTCTGGTCAGTAGTTCAAAATTAGACACAGCGGCAGACAGCCTTAGTAGCTTTGCAATACATATAAATAAAAAGTCCGGAATCCATTATCGAAAGAAAGTTCGAACCTTTGACATTAGAAAATTGCCTAGTAATCTAATGATGACGTCATTATAATTACTATTTTATATTTGGTTGAAAAACCCTTTTATTTTGCATGTATGCGTATAAATGAAATAAGACATTTATGTATAGTTTAAAAATACGTTATACAAAACAGTAATTTTTGGAAAGCACACATATTTAAACACAGTTAGCTTGCGTTGAAAAAACATTCTATTGTAGCCAGTTAAAAGAACTGTAGTTGACTTAGACAAAACAAATCTTTATGTAACAGTCACCGTTCCAAGCTGGTTAACGGTCATAGTATTTTTAACATTAAAACGTTGATTAATTAAATATACTAAGTAAACATGATAATGAATAAACAGCAACACAGAGAAGAGTAACACTAACAGTTTGATTAGAAAACAAATATAGACCTCTAACTATAACGAAAAGTTACAATAGAGAGTGTTATTACCAATGTAATTTTTTAATGATATTGTCGATTATTAAACATACGCATTGGGGAGAGGGGGAGGGAATTTATAGTTATATTTTTGTTCATCTTTCAAGAGTAGATTATTGATGTTAGCATATATTTTTGTTTCATTGTTTACCAGCATATCACTGCTATCAGGTCTTGTACACTAGACATTCAGTTTCTGTTTCTGAAGCAATGCTGCTCCTAAAATACCTCACCCCAAATGATTCACCATAATCGTATACCTTACCTCATATGCTTCACCATAATCGTATACCTCACCCCATATGCTTCACCATAATCGTATACCTCTCCCCATATGCTTCACCATAATCGTATACCTCACCCCATATGCTTCACCATAATCGTACACCTCACCCCATATGCTCCGACACACGGAAGAAGGTGCTACTTATTACGTTTTGGTGGTGTGTATTTATGTGTGTTTTAAACAACATCTGTTTAAATAACGGGCGTTATAAAAATCCAACGATCGAATTTTCCACGTGAGAGGCATTTGATGTGGGATTACTATTCAAACTTATCAAACGATTTCTGTTAAAAAGATTGGGGGGGGGGATCTGCCGCTGCTTGTATGCCGCCTGAAGAACCTTTGAATGTTTAGAACTATCCTCGAATCCCTGGCTAACAAACCAACCTTTGTACACAGCCCTAATAAATTATTTATCTTTGGTGTGAAAAGGTTTCTTTTAGGTGATCAGACAGGCTACTGCAGCTTGTGAATATAAGTAAGTGATAAACTATTGATAATTCTAAGAAGTTGGCAACCTTTGAATTGGAAATATTTTCTTGTAAACAGTCATAAAAATGATCGTAAACCCAGAATAAGCAGTGGGGTAACTTTGCATTTTGCCGATGTAAGGTGCAAGAAGAGATGTTGCCTCATTATGCTTCCTTAAGGAATACGAAACGGTTATTCTGTTAAAACTTGTACATAATATTGTATACTAGGGCATTGAATAAGATTCTTAGCATTTATCAGTGACATGTTTACAATACAGATTACGTTGTATCATGGACAAGCTAGTCTGAGGTCATCAAGGTCCGGACCTCAGATAAAATTTGAAATTAAAGGTAACATACTATTTAATTTTACACCCATATGGCATGGCCAGATGGTTATGGAGCTCGACTCGCAATCTGCGGGTTCGAATCCCTGTCCCACCAAACATGCTTGCCCTTTCAGCCGCGGGGGCATTATAAGGTTACAGTTAATCCCACTATTCGTTGGTAAATAGTAGCCCAAGAGTTGGTGGTAGGTTGACTAGCTGCATTCCCTCTAGTTTTACACTGCTAAGGTAGGGACGGCTAGTGCAGATACCCCTCGTGTAGCTTTGCGCGAAATTAAAAAAAAACAACAAACAATACACCCATATGGACAAGGTATACTGTATATAAGGCTGAC